GTCTAACTGCGATGTAAGAAATTCTGAATATTTTGGGAGCCTGGAGGCTACAGGGAGGTGACAGTGGCCGCTGTAATCTTTGCTGTGGGATGTCCGCGGGCACGGCCGGCCCCGCGCGCTGTGTGACGGGGGGTGACCCCCTCCAGCACCACCACAGCCCCCCTGCCCCGCTCCGTCTTCCCTCCCCGGGCCAGGAGCGTCCCCGGACGAGCCACCCTGCCCCGGCACGCCGAGAGCAGCTCCCTGCCCGCGCCACTTCGCCCTGGGAGCCTCGTGACAAAGACCAGGAGCTCTTGGCAGAGCCCGGCTGCTGCCCCCTGGCCCCTCCGGCTGTGCCCAGACTCCAACAGAAACAAGGGGGAAGAGGCTTTTCTGCAGGACTTTTTCAGGTTTTTTACATCAAAAACTAACAGCCTTTTCAGCCCAAATTAACCTTGCCATTTTGCTTGAAATCTTTCTCATTTTCTCTAGAAAATGAAGGGAAAAATACCCAGCTGTAATGGCCAACGTGGTTTTATTAAAAAGCCAGGCTGGAAGCGCTGTGGTTTCTGATTGGAAAAACTCTGTAAAAACTACAGCCGCAGCCGGAGGGCCGGGGTGAGGGGCGAGGAGGGCAGACGCAGGGTATTTACATCAGGTTACCAGCACCGCAATCCCTGCGGCAAAACCGACCTCTGGGATGGGCTCCGCGCCCGCAGGCCACATGATCTCCCACCCAGCCAGCCTCCAGCGTGGGTCTCCATTATAAAAATAAAGAGAAAAAGGAAAAGACCGTCACAGAATCCTAAAGACCAGCCGGGGCTGCTCTCAGCAAGGCCTGACCTGGGGTGGTACCGCACCTGCCAGGCCTGGCTGCTGTCCTGCGTCTCCCCGCTAACAGCAATGGGCTGTGAATGCCTTCACGTTCTTGTCATTGAAACGCGGAGTATTGCCAACACCTGGAGGGTGTCTAACGGGGGAAAGGACTGCAGAGAAAGCGCTCCCCTCCCCTCGCCGGGGATTTAAAGGTGTCGGGCTCATTTGCTGGTGGGGCTTGGTACCTGCCAAGGGCGAGTTTTGACCACTCCGTGGTCCGTGGGTGACCTGTCCCCTTCACTGCCGGTGCTCAGCCGAGAGCCCCCCAGCACAGACCCCCAGCATCTTCCTCCTCCTCCTCCTCACCACGGACCTGGCTGGCAAGCAGCGCTTGGCCCCCACGTTCACTGTCCGGCGTCACAGACCTGAAATAACGCGCCGCTGCCTTCGAGGGCGGCGTGAGTCACCCTGCGGCTGTTCCAGCTCCGCTATGTTAAGCAGATGAGTAAATCCGGCAGCGGGGGCAGGGGGACCTCCCCCCCCTTCCAGGGCTCCCAGACAAGCTGCGGCTGCTGCCTTTGGAGTGCTGGGCTGTCCAAAGCACCCCCCTGCCCTCCTGTGGGCAGCCTGCCTGTTCTGAGGGCGCTGGGCTGCAGCAAAGCGGCTTTTCCCTTCTAGGGCACATCCCGGGGCAGGCTCGCGGCCACCGGACCCCCTAGTCCTGACTCCTCTGAGATGTGGGCCCGATGGATGGGGTAAAGCGTGTGCCGCGGGGGCGAAGCCAGCAGCATCCTCAGTGACCCATGACAGCGATTAAACCAGCCAAGTTGCCACCCTGGGCACCCGCTCCCGGCCCTTTGCTCTCCACTTCCATCTTGGAGCTGCACAAGGTGGACAGATCCCACGTGTCCACCCCGGGGACACAGCGAGCCCGAGCACCGCTGCCCCACGGGAGGGTCTCGTCCCTGCTGGCGCGGGGGCTGCTGCGAGCCTGCCCGTCCAGCGCCGGCAGCCCTGCCTGCACACAGCGCTCACTTCATGTCTTGCAGCGTTAAATCACAGCAGACATGCAATTCAGGGGAGCGCGAGGCTCCGTAATGGGCGGCCTCGGGCTCGTGATGGGGCCGGGGCCGGCAGGCAGCCGCGCTGCCAGGGCTCCTCCGCGATGCTTTATTGCTTTTGACGCTCCAGACGCGCTCTGAAAGGCGAGTCCTGGCAGCCCGGAGGAGGGCCGCTTCCCTCTCCTGCCTGCTCTGCGCGGGCAGGCACCGCAGCCGAGACCTCCCTGCCCGCTCCTGCTGCGGCCCGGGCCTGCACAGAGCTCAGCCAGGCGCCTGCCACAGCCCCCGTGGCCCCTGGCAGGTGCCGTGACCCGGGTGGGAGCTGCCGAGGCGGATGCTGCCGTGGGGATACGGTGCGTCACCCGCGGGCTCGGGGCTGGCTCCCACCCCTGGTAAGGGCAGGGTGGGGCGACGGGGGCTGCAGGGCATCACTGTCCCCTCCCATCACGGGGACTTCGTGCCTGCGGCCCCGTGCTCTCCCTGATCCCCAAGATCAGCACGGCTCTTGCCTCAGCACAATTTAAGAAGTTCGCCACCTGCCTAAGCTCAGGTACCCGCTCCCGGCGTGGCTGCCCCAGGAAGAAGCCTGTCGTCAACATCCCAGCGCAGAGCAGAGCCCGGGCAGGACGCGGGGCTGAGCCGCAGGAAGCCCCAGATGCCCAGCGCTCCGTTTCCCAGAAAAGCAATTACTGCGCAGCAGATTACTGGGCTAATAAAATCCCATTACGCCATTTCGGAAAGTAAATCTGATCCGGGCGCTGCCGATTGATATCCGCCGTCCCACCAAGAGTCCCGCAAGAGCGCCCTGCGCACGCCTGTAACGCGAGGCTGTAATAGATCACGCTAATTAGATATCCGATAACAGGAGGGCTGATAGGAACTACATTAAAATCTCTTTAAGATGAAGACGTAAAACCCAAGAGAGCAAATTCAGAGCTAATGATGCTGCAGCAGAGGCTCCGCTTGAGTGGTCTTCGCCCCCTTGGCTGCATCCTGCCCGCCGCGGGTGCGGGGGGCTGGAGGAGCGGGGCAGAGCAGGTCACGGTCCCCAGCGCCACCACGGCGCTGCCCGTGATTTTCATTACCCGGATTCAATAAGGGGAAAGAGCTCTGAGCTGCCTGCGCTCCCCGGGAGGTGACTTGCCAGCCGCTAACGGAGCCGAGAAATCAAATTAGCCCCAGCTCTGCTCTCGCTCTCTCCCTGACACCGCTGTTGGCAGCCGAGGGGGAGTTCATCAGGGCCGCGCACTAATTCTTATCTCGTTTAAGTGACTCCACGCTGCCATCTGATGCGATTTGCTCTGCGCCACCGCCGCAGGCGCTGGTCTCTGCCCGACGCTTCCCCAGCACTTCCAGCAGCTCTGTGGGGGCACGGGCACCTACAGCACACGCAAACGCAGACATGCGTACACAAATATACGGGATTAGAGGGATTAGAGGGAACAGGGGCCGGGGTGAGGCTCCCCTGCCAGGCACAGGGATGCTGCCCCGAGGACGTGACACCCTGGCGCGGAGGGAAGCCTGAGCAGGGTACCGGGGCACAGGCGAGCGCCGAGCACGTTTGTGCTCTCAGTTGTCACAAGACCAACCTTGGGTGTGGCCACGCTTGCCCGAAGGTGTTGAATATTTGGGGAAACTGAAATGGGAGGGAAGCGCTTCCGTTCGCTGGAAGGTGCACGCCAAGGCTGCAGTGCCAGCGGACCCTCGTCTGGGCGCGGGCTGCCTGCAGCCTGCACCGGCCAGCGCACCCGTCTCCGGCGGGACAGACCAGCCCCACCACCGGCTGTGAGGGAAGCCCAGTACTTCCAGAGCCCCCCCTCCCCTGCTGATGGGGACCCATCTGAGCCAGCCTCGTGTCTCTGTGACCTCCTGGGACCGACCGCCCCCTCTCTGAGGTTGCCCCCGAGACTTTCTGACCACCCAGGATCTCCGGGTGCAGCCCCGGTGCCTGCAGCATCCTCTCCCCCCGCTGTGCCCCCCACCCCTGCTGCACGCATGCACGATGTTTGTCCCCCCAAAACCCGCTTCTCCATGGCCCAGTGCCTGGGCAGGGGCTGGGGGGGCCCCAGGGGAGCCGGCAGGGTGGGGGGTGGCGGAGCGGGCTCCCCTTGCATCCTCCCAGCCTGAAACTTGATGCAGGGGGAGAGGCTGATCGCGAGATTAATTGGGCGTTCTCAAAAACCCGACGGCGGGGGGAAAGCGAGCAAGGAGAGCTGCTGCCTCCCTGCTCGGGTTCACTCTTCCGCAGAGCCGCTGGGCTGGGC